CCATCGTATAGATTACTGAATGAAAAAGAATCGTCCCAGTCGTAAATCAGCATATTAATTCGTAATGGGATTATCATAATAAATCACAGTTCTCCCTTCTACCATTGCTCGAGCTCAGTTCGTATTATAAGTGACCTATATTCCTCATGAATATCCAACCAGTTGATAATTGTCGATACTTTTCAATTTTCCGTTGTTTTCGTATTCGACGATAGTACGATTTTCGATTAGTTCGATTTTCAATTGAAACCAATCCCAACGGGGGCATAATTGAAATTAACGGTAGAACACATTTTTTTTTTTTTTTGAAAAGAAGGAAAGGGATAAATGGAATTCAATTTGAGGATAATTAATGTGTGCCGTACATGTAAACGCTTTAAAATAGTGCGCTTTTGGACTGGAAATGCAACGAATTTCAACGAAGTTGAACGAACGAAAAGTTTGCAAAATTTACGAAGTTACTATTTTAAGAAATCCACCGAGAGGGAAAGCGAACAATGCACTTTTTTAAAACAAAGCAAACTTTTAATCCAACTTTTATTTCACTACTATTTTACAAAAAATAAATAATAATTTTTCATAAAAAGTTCCTATGAAGATAAATAGCGTCATATAGTTATCATATAGTTATCATATGTTTTGTTCACATTTGTATCGATTGCCATAAATTTTCACACTCGTGACTTGGAACAAGTAATGATTCAAAGTGAAAGATATGAGGGCAATATTTTTGATAACAGTAATTTGTTGATTGCAATCCACTTTACGGATTATTATTTATTAAAACTTTTGGGGATAAAGTGCATCGTCACGAAATATCACGTTAGATAACCTTTTGCCATCTTTTAAGGGTAGGAAACGTGACACTTGAATATATCTAGGCCGAAGTAAAGTGTGAGAGGTGTCACATAAAATGACAGGAAGTGCCGGTAAAACTTCTCATACATGATACATCCTAATAAATACCATCCTAAAATATTCAGCTTGTGCGTTTTGCGAAAATATGCGATGCATATAAAAAGTATCGTAGATTATGCGAAACGAGATAAGCGCGCAATATCGTCTCACGATTTCATTTTTTTTCATCCTATACCTAGCACCGAGCTAATGGAAACGTTTCACGTCGAGTATCGAAAATTGTTCAAAATAAAAATCTTTTCGTTATATAATTTTTTACAATCATTTATAAATAATTACAAAAGACTGATGAAAGGTATGGAAGTAATCGCTCGTAATAAATGTTTATCAACATTGACAGCTACTTTAGACTTAAAAAACATGGAGAGAGAGATTATCCATTAATGTTAAAACGTTTTACGTTTCTTTCATTGATTATTCTTCTTCATGGTTTATTCTGGAAACTAAAAGGAAACGACAGAGATAATACGTATCTAAAAACCTATCGGAGGTGGAGCAACGAAATTCATTTTTTATAAGATCCCTCTTCATCGTAGAGGCCGATATTGCATCCGCCTTCCTTTTGATAGCTAATTTCTCAAAGCTCTGAAAGCGCAACGAGTCGGTTCGTAGATTCGCCCACCACCTCGCATAATTATATCCCATCCCAGAAATCCCGTTATACAGCCAGATATTAGAGAAATATGCGAAGCTCCACAGGCCGAAAAGCGTATTTTCTTCGGATGAAATAAGATCCAAGCACTGGTTACCGAATATTAACATTCCTTTTAACTGATAACCGACAAGGTAAAGAAAATAAATCGAGGAAAATAATTCTCCGATCCAATATCCTTTCATTCGCACAAAGGACCTTCGCCCGAAGAATGAAACTCGAAGTTAGAATTAATTGGCCATCAATTACGATCGAATTTAAATTCAATTCGAGTCGCTCACGGCGCAGTTCAATCCTCCAGAATCGAGCCGTGTTACACTTTTCTATTTGATCTGATATATAACCCTTTCGAAACCTCGCCCTTTCTCAATTTATTTAGAGAGATTCATTTGTTTTTTTCCTTCATTGCCATCGAAAAAGAAAAGGCTTTACTCATTCGCAGCCAATAATCAAAAAATAAAAAATTCAACACCACTCCTCCTACATACCGTTGAAATAAAAAAAATCCTTGAAAAATTACCCCCCTTTAATCCCCGTCAAAAGATCAAAATTTCCTGGAAAAGAACGCGACCACAAAGGCGCGGTACCCGCGAAAAAGATCAAAAGGAATCGACACCTCGACCGATGGAATCGTCGCGAAGGGGGAGGTTTTTATTCGACTGACTGTTCCTCACCATTTCTCACACTTTCTCCACGTACACGTGTGAGCGGCGAGAATTGTATAGGAAGGAACGTGTGCAGCCTTGGGTCTCCCTGCGGTGAGTCGAGCGCTTGTAAATGCACGTCTCCCCGGGTATCCTCATCCAGGCGGGGTGGAACGTACGTGTGTACAACGGAGGGGGGTGGTAGGGAAGGTTGGGAGGGTACAGTGGGAACACAGTTCTTGCATTAGCCAAAGAAGATTTCTGGGCGAATCGAGCGAGGAGTGGGGGTGGAGTAACCGAGCGAAAGGGTGGAAGGAAGAAAGGACGGGTCCGCTTCTTGCGATCGTGGCACCTCCGTTGATTTTTGTCGCCTGTAGTATCCCGTTCCTGGGATACTACTTTTACACAGGGAGAAAAAGAGGCGGCTCAACCTGGAATCTGAATACCGACAGGGGACAACTTATAAACCTTCTATCCGTGATTAATGCGCGCGAGTTTCTTTCGGGAGGGAGGCTGTTTTTCAAGGAATTGAAAACGGCACCGTATCTCGCCAGCAATTGGAAATATAGATTTGGATTTCGAATGGGAGATTTATCGAGTCTGTGTAATTTCGTCGTTTGGTTAATCTTTGAGAAACGAACGAACGGACGGGTTTGAATAAAATGGAAAAAATCGAATTATCGTCGATGGGGTATTTTGTGTTTGTTCAATAAGTCTATGTTGAATAAGTTGTTATATCTTAATGATTAAGATATACGCGAGTTGTTGTCTCGAACGAGTAGTCTTAACGTATACTTATACGTTGCGGATACGTAACGAGATCATAAATAAAATATTAGGCGAGTCCAATTTCATCTGGTTTTACAATAACGCGTACACAGGTAGGGAGGATGTTGAGCAAGATAGCACCTAGTCGATACCAAGGCTATCCTCGTTCCTCCTTCCAAGTCATATTTGTCTTATTGACCGCCGTATTCGTAGCAGCTTGTTCAACTGTTGAACTAGCGAGACGTGAAACACGTTCTATATACAGCTCCGGTTTAAACTAACCTCCATCCAGTTTCAGCAAACCACGGAAATTTCAAACTCCATCTTGTTATCCGTACGAACGACGTTACTAACGAGGAGGAAAGAATGTATAAGGGAAGGAGTGAAGATAAAAAAGAAAAAAGAAAAAAAGAGAAAAAGATTCGTTCGATCGGTGTGTTTACGAATCGGGACCGGAAATCATGCAAATTTCGTAATGGCGCAGGAAGAAAATCCGATTCTCATGGGAAGTTTCGCGAGTTTGCTAAATGCTCTCGAACGTATCCCCCCTGTCTCTAGTCAGATTCCCGAGAGAAGTTCGAAACTAATGGCTGGAAGTCGATGATACTTCGCTTTTAAGGATCTGTTCGGTTCTCGTTCCTGACTGCGGCAACAACCTTCCCCCGACTGCGTCGAGTTAACTTCGTAAATGATCGCGCCAATCGCGATCCTTCCTCCGCATCCAGATTTGTTGAAATTATAATTCCTTTTCGTCCGATTTCGCTTTCCACGACGAGAGAGGAAAAATTTCTTTAGAATTTCTATCTCGATGATTGTATCCAACATTGAATTTTTTCGAAGATCCGAAAGAATTTGTAATCTATTCGAAAAGAACGTATATTGCAATATTAATCTCGATTAAGAGTTTTTTTTTTTCATCTGGAATTCATACAAAATGCAATATCCAAGACGCACCTTGTTACGTACCTTGGATGTATCTTTAATGAATTTTTCATCAAACTTTCAACCTCTTCCGATATCATCTTGTATATCTCGTCGTTCCGAAATTCATTTGCAATTTCTATGAAAACTAAAATTTAGAACGATTAAATTTGATATAAATAAATAAAGAAATCGTTGGATCGTTCCAATCAAATATACAGTTTATATTTGGATAGAGAAATTTTGATTTTCTCGTTGAAGATATCTTCTACTTATTTCCATTGCGAAAAATAATTGTATTAATAGAGAAAGAAATTGATGATATTATCGAGCAAAGTGGTTAATTGAGGCATTCCAAATGAATGCAGTAATAGATGCGGTACGTTTACGAATGAACCAGTTTTGAATCGCGGTCAACCAATAACGATCCCTCGTTAATTTCTTCTTACAACGAGGGAAGAATTAAAATTAAAACGAAAAGTAAGATAAAAATTTCTACCAGTATCCTGAAGTGATATTTCCAGAACAAAGGATAAATGTTCTTCTCAATTATCCTCAACCCTCTCCAAAAAACAAAAAAAGGAAAAAAAGAACAAAAATCTTTTCAAATCTAAATTTTCCCACATTCGCGAATAAACGCGAATAAATTGATTCCAAATAAAGTGTTCCGACAAAATAGACAGAATTATCGATCAAATTTCACGATTAACCGTGCAATTTTTACCTGCAAATTGAAGCAAATGTACAGTCAAGAGGAGAGAGAGAGAGAGAGAGAGAGATTCAAAGAACGATCGAAATGCGGCAACGTTTTACGAATCCTCGAGGAATCGAGAGGGCGCCGCCGTTAAACTTGGAAAAAGCAACGAGACGTCAAAGAACCGGCCAGCTTCTCCTTTCAAAAACGGAATTTTCGGAAACGGAATGCAAGCCAATAATTAATTGAAGGGAGGGTGTTGCCAAACGTTGGCCGTGTTTATAATTAATATTTAAATTCGACCGTACGCTTGGGAAACGTTTATATAAACGGGAGGGGAGGGGAGGTTATAGGGGGATAGAGAACGAGTTATTAATGTTTCGGGAAGAGAGAAATTACTTACCGAGTATCTGGCTAAGAACGGTGCGGCCATCTTCGCCGAGGCAGGCGCTCCGGGCATCAAAGGGATTTGTGAATTGCACGAATGCATACCCTTTGTGCATAGATATTCCTGAAACAACAAACGATCATGACGTTCCAATAGCCCGCTTCCTTTCTTCCAAGCAACGCGGATGGAATGAAACAGAAATACCGGGATAATGGGGGGAAATCTTTAATTAAAATTGTTTCCATGAATTTTGATGAGGAGCGTGGAGCCTTCGGCCAGACTTTGCGGGGATCTTTGGGGATGGAAAGGAGAGGGGGTGGATCTCGTCATCGTTCCGGAATACCGGATCGAGAGGATTGAAGTGTGGATTCGAAGAAGAGATGAAGAAAAGTGGTGGGAGGTGATTTTCGAGTTTTCGAGCTTTTTATTCGTTTTCTTTTATTTTTATTCAGCGATATAGGAATATCGTTGTATATTTTATGCATGTATACACGTTTCTGAAACTAAGTATAATTTTCAATCGACGATTGTACGAAGGAACAATTATATTTTGAAACGCAAAAAAAGTTATTTCGATAGAGTTAAGAAGTTTCGAACGAAAAGCGTTAAACGGACGAATGTTGATTTTTTTTTTTTGTACCAAAGAATTAATTTTAACAGAGAGAGCATTGCGGCTAGAGTGTCTTGTGTCGCAAACTGTTATTGTATTAAAGTTCGGATGAAACAAAAGTTCGGATATTATCTCTGTCTTTGGACACGCGATTAAAAATGGAATTTAAATATGCTTAATGCAGAAGCTTTTCTCTTTCGCCGAGAATTTTCTTAAATAAATTACAGGAACGTTCGCTGGTATTTATTTTTCATGCGCGGCAGCTCCACGGAGTTTATCACAATCCGCGGGGAATAAATTTCTCCCTTTCCTACATTTATCGACAATGAATTTTAATAAGATTTCGCGTTACATTCAACACGTCACTTGCTTTAATACTTTGCTCTTTATCTATATCATCGTTTTCATATATCATAATTAAAAAGTATAAAATAAAACTCTTTGTTCTAATTTCTAAGTTCGAAATATAGGAATTAAGAGAAATCAGAGATCAAGATGGAAAGATTAACAAATTATAATGATAATTCACAATTATATATTTTTATCGAAAAAAACGAGAACGAAAAATTACAAATAAATTTATCCAATTTCCAATCAAATATTACGAGATGCAATTAAAAATATTTGCCAAAAGGAGACACAGATTCATAAACAACGCACGCAATTGGAAGGGAGCGTGCAGGAAGCGTAGGATAGGAATAAAATCCTCGAGATTTTCAACTTGACGTTATTAACATGTTCTAGGGAACTGGCGTTGCGAGATAAATTTTTTTTAAAGCGTCACTGTCCGTTTCGGGAGTGGACACACGTTTCGTACGAAATATATCTGCATCCAGACCCGTGTACACCCGGGGCCATATATGTATAACCATGGCAGGAATATATGGAGATTTACATATTTGTTTCAGCATAATGAATTCCATGCATGGTCAGCTGCTAACCACGCAAAAGTTATTACGGGTACACAGATTACAGCAGCCTCCCGCGTTAAAATGAACGTATCTGCCGACTTGCCACGCAGACTGCCCCCGGAATCGATGGCCCAACTGTGCCATGTGGTGGCCGATGTAAAATTAAAAAAACAAAAAAAAAGAGAGAGAAAAAAGAAAGAAGAAAGAGAAAAGAGCGAAAAAGGAATGGAAGGCTATCCAGATATATATATATGTCAGGCCTCGAATTCATTCGAAATTTCGATTTTTCCCGATTCTCGAAATTTATTTATATTTTGCGTTAGAAAATTGATTTTCTAGTAAGAAGAAGAATCCTTGTAATTCTAATGTAAATTTTAATCAATCGCTACGAATCAAATTAATCGGCATAACAATTTTCAATCGTTACAGAGAATTATTCATCCTGCGTTCAAGTAATTCGAACGATCGACTGTATTTAATATTTCTCGGCCTTGAGCTCGAATCGTTCGTTGCTCCGAAAACTGAAAACGATCGGAATTGAAAGGAATTAATACGCATCGGTTGCCACGACTTTCAGAGGACAATGATACGCGTGCAGAACAATTTAATACGATTCTCCATCGGTGCACTACGTCGTGCTCCACTCGATTCGTGCAATCTGCTCCGCGCAGCTGTCACAGTGGTCCAAGCATTCCTCCCTAGCTCTGCTCCATCCGACAATCTGAACCTTTTCCAATTTCACGTCTCCGTTGACTCGAGCCTCTTCTCCTCCAATAAGGATGCGGGGACCCTTTTCTTGCGGGACGCAGCACACCGCGAAACAGTCGTCGAGGAGAATTGCGAATTGTCGTTGCGGCCGGCAGAGGTTGAAACTTTTATGGAACTTGCAACGCTCGTGCCTTCTCGTGCCAGATAGGGCGAGAAAGGGTTTTTCAACTTGTTGGATTTTTCATTTCTTTTTCTCTCTTTTTCTTTTTTTTTCCCCTCGTGGACGCGTTTTAATTCGTTTCTTTTTTTTTTTGAAAAGAAATTTATTTTCTCTCTCGTTTGAACTTGAGGTTTGAGAAATTGAGAAATCGGTCAGTCGAATAATTTAAATTTGTAGAATTTTCTTCACGCGGTGTGATCTTCAAAGTTTTTTGTTTCAGAGAATCGAAGTAGCACAAATCGAGGAATGGATAGTTTTTAGATCGATATTCGAACTCTTTCGTCGAGGCAAAGAAATCTTAATCTCTTTTTACACTTCATTGTTTGATCATCATCATTGAGAATCAACTTTTTCCCTTTATATTAACCAAGTAACTTTTCAAATATATCGAGCACAATCGAAAAACACAGTTAGATGTATCTTCGTTAAAAAAATGCAATAAATAATTAAACGCTTATAATTATTTTCACGCGTTCGGAAAATGCTATCTCGATACACCAATAATAATACCTTCGATATTAAAACAATATTTAATAAGCCCACTATCTTGGAACACCGCGAAACCATAGCAGAAATAATTGCAACGATTCGAAATCTCTCCTAATGGATTCGAAACTGTGTAAAAACTCGGCCTTTGTTCCCGATGTAACTCGATATTTCTTGTTTCGCGTTATTCCTCCCAACGCGGAAATCTACATATCCCCGCGTGTTTTTTTACCCCGCGTGGAAGAGAGAGAGGGGGTGGGGGGGAGAGAATCGAATTAAAAGGAAAAATAAGGGAGATATCCACGTCGATCTCGCTTCGAAACCGATGGATCATCGGTAAACCGATTCAATTCCGAAATAACGAAAGCTGTTCCTTTTTTTTTGGTTGTTTTTTTTTGTTTTGATTCGACGAAAAAATGAGCGCGCAACTCCTCTTCCGCGCAATTTATGCATGTAGCAATCGTCCCTTTGATTGACGATAAAACACAACCGGATGGATGCCGTTTTTCGGCAGGGTAAATCGGGGACAGGATAGGGTTGAAAAGCGGATAGGGAAAAGTTGGAGGCACTTGCTTATCCCGATTTGGGTCAGTTTAGAGAGAGAGAGAGAAAGGGGAGAGTTTTGAAAAGTTTTGAAATTTTGTGCTTCTTTTTTCCTTTCTTCTTTTTTTTCTTTTTTCATTCCGGAAAATGTTTAACGCAGTTAGTTTGTCGATTTAATTACAGTACAGGGCGTCAATTATACGTTCATACGGGAACTGGGACGTCGATTAAGTTGTATATTTTATGCGAGGACAACTTTTCATGGAGTCGATTAAACTTGCGGTGTGTTAATTTTTAATTGGAGAGAGAGAGAGAGAGAGAATTTTTGTTTCAATTCGATTATCGTTTCTGACGATGATTTTGATATATTTTGGTGTCGGTAGATGGATAAAAAAATTGTGTTATTCGTAAAGAAAAGTAGAAAAGTAAAATGGAATACTTCATTGGAATATTTTTGAAGTGATATACAAAAATATTGAAATCGAAGCTCATTCATTAAATTATATATACTTTAAATCCTTTCTTATAAGAATTTACAGAATCAAATTTTTCCTTCCAAAACAAGTACCATTCCATTTTCGTCCAATTCATAAATTCCATAATTCATTCGCGCGAATTTCTCCTTCGAGAAACAAGTGTCGTAAGACCACCGATCTCGCGAGAAAATGAAAAAAAAAAAAGAACCAACCGCCGAAAGAAATCGTTCGAGATCGAAAAAAACGAGAGAATCCAAAGCTTGATCACAAACGAATCGGTCGCTCCATGCTGTGATTCGAAACAATTAAACAAAAGTGCTGCACCAGTTTGCATTATCAGTCAAGTCCAAGGTTCAGTCATGGGTCATCCTGCATCCACCCACGCTCCTCCACGAAATCCAAGAGCCAGCAAACCCCGAAATCTCATCGAGGACAGCGTCGCGCTGTCTGGTAACTGCCGATAAACAGCTTACTTTCGCCAGCTCCCTCCGATAAACCGGGCCAGACAATAAATGCAGCGACAATGCGTCTGCGCCCAACTTTACGGAGGAGGAACTTGGTGATGAATTAAAAGGGGTGGTTCGATTCGACGACGGATAAGACGACGATCCTCTTCTGGGTGGGCCACAGGTACGAGGCAGCTGTACGAGGCAGATTGCGCGGGTCAAGTGGACGTTCCGGATTGGTGGCCGAGCGTTGTCCATCGACTCGATTGCAGCTTAATTTTATTTCCAACTTCTCTGCCTCGAGTGCCCCTCCTCCAAGGATCGAGCTAATTCTGCGTTTGACGCCACGAAATGTGTTTCGAGGGGGTTGGCTTCTTTTCGAATCGAATGAACGATTTGCCTCGCAATTCGGGTTATTTTTATTATATAGGATTTTGTATTGTTGAAATGTCGACGAGCTTGGAGGAGAGTTCTTTTCTCGAATCTCGTGGATGCGTATCGTTATCCAGAATCGAGGGAGAACTTGAGTTGATCTTTCGATTTTTGTTACACTTATAACCATAGTAATTAGCTGTTACCGATCTAAAAAGAATGTAACGAAAAAAGAAAAAGAAACGTTTTAAAATAACTCGATTAAGTGGATAAGATCGGCGAGACGAGTAGTGAAATTGATAATTCTCGTGAGAAGTAAATAATAAAAGCGTCCACGCGTCGTGTGTGGTGGTGAGTGAAGGAATCGAATTATTTAAATTTAAACGTGGGAAAGTTTTCATTACAGGCGTTACACGAGACGTATCACACGACTCGACGTGGGGAAACTACGTCATAGACTGCGCTTTAATTTTCCTTGCCTGCAGAAACACCAAACACGGATCGCATCGCTGTACCAGTGACAGCTGTACGCAACAGACTCCCAAGGAACTCGAAATTCGTGTAAGCAGGGACCGAGTTTCGCGAAACTTGCGCCATCGGTAAAAGTGTGATACTTTTACTAATGAAATAGTATCCTCGTTGCTGCTCGTCAAACGCCGCTTCAACTTTCCGGTAAATTAACTAAGAAATACCTTTCTGAACAACACCTGTGCAACACTTGAATTCTAAAGCATGAGAGAAAAAAGAGGAAGATAATTTTTTCTTTTCATCTTTCTTTTATATATTATTCCTTTGCAGACAAAATCTAGATTCTTTGCACACACCATTATGTTTCTTCTCGTCGATTTCGAAAAAAATCTGAAAATAATAAATTCTCGCTTATCTATATAAGTCTCTTCTTTGTCGTCGACGTTTATGGAATTATCCAAAAAAAAAAAAAAAAAGAAAACTCTACAATTCCTTTCACTCTCTCGTTCCCATAGAAATCCCCATATAAATACAAATGCATTTTTCGGTCGTTGTTATTCGTTTAAAAATTCGAGCGAACGACAGTTATCCTCGTGAAAATGACTAACCCAGCGATAAAACCGATTTTAACGAGAAACTCAATCTTCGTGCCATCAATCGGCCGATCTCTTCTCTCTCTCTCGCTTTTTTTTCCCGCGCGCGTGCACACACCGGATTTACCCGGTTTCCAATAAAGTACGTTTCCCCGAAACGAAGTTAGCGTTACAGTGAAAGCAACGGGAGTCATCGGTGGTGAAACTGGAGACGGATATCCAATCGGGATATCGAAGGTCAAGGAGCTATCACGGCACAAATTGGGTTACCGAGGACCCCGAGCGTATCGAGAAAATCCTATTTCCAACTCGCTATTTTTCTCCTCCGTGCCCCTCCCCCCACCCAGGCTTTTTGTACCGGATAACAGCGCGACTCTTTACCCGTTATCCGAGCCAGGGATCTTTGAATCTTCTCAACTTCGACCAGTTTTGTAACTACACACTATCGACTGCTTTTCGACTTTTCCTACTTTTCCGATCCCTCCTGCAAAACGGTATTTATATATTTGTTTCTTTCTTTTTTTTCTTTTTTTTTAAATTTCTAATAATACCGGATCGGACGAGATTTTTTCTTTCTCTCTCTCTCTCTCTCTCTCTCTCTCGATTCTTTTTTTTGTTTTGTCGATTCGAACAGAATTTTGTCTTTTTTCTTTTTTTTTTTTTTTCTGTTTCGTCAGATCGTGGTATTTGGAATCGTTGGAACGATGGGAATATTGGTTGGTTCTATAAGGAGTTGAGGTTATTAGAATGTGTTTTGGAATTTTTGTTACTTTTTTCTTTTTTTTGAAATAATGATTTATTAAATAATTCGTTTCTTCGTTTCAAATTTTGTATTTTGTTGTTTGTTTGTTTTTTTTTTTGTTGGTTAAGATTATCGAAATGCGTTTGAAATTGTTATAGACAGGATATTAAGGAATTAAGAATTGATTTAAAATATATTTGGTTGAATGGATATTTTGGAGGATTCGAAAAACGGAGATTTTCAATATATATATATATATATGAATGATACACAAATTGTGTGATTAGACACGTTAGATTATTTTTAATTATTTTTGATTTTATATGTAAGGTTGTATTTTGTTTGAAAGATTATCTCATATTTTTTGATATTTCGATCATTTATTATTAAAAACGAAAATAACGTATAATCCTCTTTACGAAAAATGTAGGTTTGTATTAATTTTTATCAGAAAGCTCGATTCACGCAAAAATTCATTTTTAATCTCTTATGAATAAATTCTCATTCTACCGTGAAATTACGGAAAGGAAATAATAATAATAATAATAATAATAATAATAATATATATATATATATATGTATAAAAATAAAAAAAAAAATAAAAAAAAAGAGAATCAAATAATCCCTCTATAATTATTACATTTCGTAAAATAGCTTTATCATTTCAAAGAATATCGCGTACCACCATTTTAAATAAATTTTCAATCGTTTCAACAAGGAAAATCCTATCTCTCCTGAAATTATCTTCAACATTTTTTAGTCCCGTTTGCATAATTATTACGTTCATAAAGTAACTTTTATTATACACCGCTCAAAAGATATCGCGTAATAATATTTAACATAAATATTCCCTCGTTTCAAAGATACAAAACTTTTGAAATATATTATCCCCGACATGTGTGTTTCCACGGAATAATAAATTTTCACTTAACATTCGGAAAAGAAAAAAAAAAAAAAAAAAGTAATTCCTCGATGCACTTATTTTTTCGAAATTATTGTTTCAAAACTTCAATAAAAATCTTCAAAAATCACTTCTCACATAATTTCAATTCGTAATAATAATAATAATAATAATAACTTTCGAACCAACGAAATATCCCATAATTTAGCCGTTTTAAATAAATTTTCGATCCCTTCGAACCCTCCCTCCTCCTCTTCCCTAGAAAAGAAATGAAAAGGAAAAAAAAAAAAAAATCTAATTTGCGACCCTAACGAAAGAATCTCGAAGAAAATGTCAGGGTATACGGGGGAGCTGATCCTTCCTTCGTTTATGTGATTTCACCGGAAAAAGGAACCTTACCTGCCAGACGGCCGTAACGCTGAAACATTCGCTCCACATCGGTCTTGCTGCACTGGAACGTGTTTAGATTCCCGACGAAAACCCGGGAATTCACCGCCTGTGGGTCCTGCGAATTGGTCTGGTTGCCCACTTTGCTCATCTTCATCGCCTGGAACAGAAGAATGTAACCGGATGCCGGTTTATCCTCGAACGTGATTCGGATACGACGAATGCAACGTCGAAAAGTGATACACTCGTTTATTCCTAACCATCCCAACCCTCCATTCTTATCCTTGTCGTCGTTTCGATTTCTTCTTTATCGATCAATTCGTTCAACTTGTTTCCATGTGTCACGCAAATTGAACGAATTTAATTATTTATTTAATCGTTCGATCCCAGTCGAAAATCCGTTTCAACGGGGCCCAAACTCGGCGAGAATTTTTTTGCACCGAGGTTGGAAACGAAGAACGAGTCGGCCACGTTGCGCTTAATGAGATTCGTCCTTCCGAATTGTCCGAAAGACGCTTGTTGCTACCCGCGACGAATTAATTAACGAGGGATTCCATTCTAAAAAAAAAATAGAAAAGAAATCAGAGAGAGAGAGAGAGAGAGAGAGAGAGATCGGCCTGTCTACCATCTCTCCATAACACGGAACAAAACTAATGAGATCGTTAGCCACGTCTCGCCTCTAAATACGCCGATTTTCCATGGAATCGGTTAATCTCGCGGATTATATGATCACGTGTTAATTGAGGGACGCGCGATTCATTCGGGGGGCTTGATCATCCACCCGGCAAGGGAAAAACATTTTTTCCCCAACCCTTTGATCACATCACGTCCCCTCCCCCTCCGCCTCGATTACAGGCTGCTTTCATCGGTTAATATCGGCGTCTGGCGTCTGTGATCTTTTTATCAGAGCTTGGAATACGTCTCGTTTTTTCCTTCTTTTTTGTTCTCGATTCCGTGCCTGTCAATTTGTTAATTTGCTCCACGTTTTTGGGCTATTGGACGATAATACACGTGGATGTAATTGTTGCAAATATATCGATAAATTTCTTCATCTCTCTTTTTTTAATCTCTTTTTTCAAAAGAAAGAGGAATCACTCTGTTACAATTTGTAGGAATTGTTGGATTAATTTGTTTAAAATTATATTTTCGTATATATTGCCGCAGATATAGCTGTTTTCGTTAAGCGTTCCGTTTAAGCATGAAAAATTTTATTCCTTCCTTTCCTCTTGCTTTTTCTAAGAAAGAGGAATAATCAGTATTTATATTGCGAATAATATATAGAAAAGTTATATCGATTTGGTAAAATTATGTATTTTCCACTCGTCGATCTTTATACCATCGATACTTTAAATTTGTTGATAGACGGGAAGAGAGGAGAAGTTTGAAAACTCGGAGCAAACAATTAAATTGGAAAGGGGAAAATAAACACGAATGAAAAGCTCCGAAAGCAACCGGCGAACGAGTTGAAAGATACACGGAAAAATCTACTTTCGCGAAAATATATGAAATAAAATTCACCGCTTTGCTTGAAAAAACGTTCCAAATTTTAAAACGATCCATTTAAAAATTATAAAAATTATTCCCATTGTTTCTCAACGTTTTCCACAATAGGAAAGATACACCTCGTATTTATTCCTCGTGTACACGCACACACGCGCGTTATTATAAAATCGTTCTATCGCGATATATTTTATAATTACGAATATTCGAGCGCAAAATCCAGGTAAAAAGCAGGCTTGATGGAACCGGGTATTACTTTCCGCAAAATGCCGCCGTTGCATTATGAACCACGCGAGAACAAAAACGCGAATCGATGGATAAACACCAAACCTTCGTCGAATCGAATTAATAAAAATCGATCACGTTCGCTTTTCCAACCTCCACTGCCTGATAAAAGATCGACCAGCGTATTTTTATACCGTGTTCGGTTTTTACAATCGTCGTTACACGCGTCGATGAGGAAAGAAATTGGCAGCTGGTTCGAAAGAGATATGGAAAATTCCTTCTCGATAAAAGTCGAAGGCTAATTTCGACGTTTGACCCAATATTTACCCTCCCTTTTTCATTCGAGTGTCTGTATTTATCGTTGCTGCCGCTTCAATACGACGTGATCTCACCTTCTTTTTCGTATTGCCGGTTGGATGATCTTTGCAGAGGAGATGGCATGGAATTATCGTTTCGTTGCTTTTCAAAAGATATCGTCGTGAAATTTTTGGATCGTGCGGTTCTTGATTAGGTATTTGATAAAAATTTGCAAATTTCTTTTGTGCAGGAAGTTTGTTGGTTTTTATATTTATAAATATATGATGCGAACGAAGTTTCGAATTTATCGAAAGGAAATTGGAATTTTAACGTTTCAATTTTTCTTTTTGTTTTGATATTCGAAGATTTCACTATTGTAAATTTTTGGAAAAGCAGAATTCAAGCAACGAAGCTATTCGTAATTACTTGAAATTTCTAATTTTCGCTTCTGAATTTTAGGCGAAAACTGAGTTCGAGAACGTAGTCTTCGCGATAAAATTAAAAAATTCGACGTATCATCAACATTTCCGCTTAATATTATCCAAGATTACTTTTCTTTTATTTTAGGAAAATATTGTATATAAGATTTTATGAGAAATAGATACGAAAGTGTGTCAAGTTAAGGATACAATCTCGATGCGAATCAATTATTCAATATTTCGATATGACGTACTCTATTTTTACCATCGATCTTCGATTTGAAAAAAAAATTTCACGAGAAATCGACAGGTCGGTCTATAAATTCGCGTTTCCATCTTTAAAAATGTAACAAGAAAAATTGAATCTAGGCTTCTGCATTCTACATTTTACCATCTTCCTTACATTATTAACAACATTGCAAACAATTCGCACAACACACGAGAGAATAAATTTCACGACAATGAAAATTTCTTGCAAATCCTATTAAAATTATTATTCCATCGCCGCCACGGTGAAAATTGAAAATGTATTGCGGGACAAAAATTCCATCCTTTTTTCGGAAAATAGTATATTCGAATATACTACGATCGAGTTGAATTTTTATGAAAAAAAAAAAAAAAGCCACTGGAACATTCGCGCGATATTCTTTCTTTCTAGAAATGTATCGATGAACAGTTGCTCGAATATGTTGCGCAGTATATTTGGTAATGATATATATTATGTTAGCTGCGCATGTGACCACCCCTTAATATTGGCTTGATTGATGTCAGAGTAATTACTAGCGAACACGTCCAGTCAAGGGAAATTGGAGGTGCGTCTAATTAGTTCCGAGCCACGTCCGTTCTCTAATTAGCATAAATAATAAGAATTTTCATGGAAACGCGTCCGCATTGTGATTTCAAGTAAAATCTTGCCCCTAAATCCGATTAATAATACGTGAAATAAATTTCAAAACAAGCTTCACCCCAATTCTTTCCAATTATTATTTGTGAAATTTTTAATATTTTTCTCTTTACCGATGATGATTTCAATTTTTTTTCGTAACACGCAACGAAGGAAATATTGTACGAGAATTGTTGAGAATAATTTTTAAAAATTATTTGATTATTTTATCGTTCTATTGGATATAAAGTTGTTAAAAATATACAACTTTCTTCTATTCGTTGATGCAATATTATTAATCGGTTTCGAATAATTATTTAAAATATACACGGAATACATAATTTAAAATCTTTCTTTTTATAATTACTACAATGCTCCTGATCGTTCCTTTTTCGTATATAGAGAATTATCGCGATAATATCCAATAAAAGCACAACAATCGAGTATCGATCACGATGATGAAAACTACGTTTCGTCGATTTATCGAGAAATTTATCGAGCTTTCGAAAGAACAAGAGGAATAAAAAAAAGAAGTAATAAAAAAAAAAAAAGAAAAGAAAAGAGCAACATCAAAATCCAGTCAATGTATCAAAGCGAAATTAGTTAAATACCCGGAAGATATTCCGGCATTGAGGAATGCCGAGCAACAAAGCGACGTTGAAATTCGAGGTACATTTTATAAAGGCTCCCCTCTTTCTCTGTCTCCATTACAACCTGTCCTGATTCCGGCCACGAGACTCGTGATGAACGCTCTCGATGCATTTCACAAACGCTTTCGACGAACAGTGTAGCATTTTCGGCCACGTTAAGTTTAATGCTACACTTAACGCGAACGATATTCCCGTGCAAACGACGATTCTCGTCGTTTTGTCGGGGAGAAACAGGAAAAAAAAAAAGAAAGAAAGAAAAGAAAAGAGAGTCGACTGTAATTGTAAAATAAAAAAAAAAATGCTTCTACAAAAAATTTGTAGAAAGTTTCGTGGTTTATTTCACGACAGAGAAATATATGATAGAGGGATCAATTTATTAGGAGAAGATTTTATTGCTTTCGAGGAGTTTCATTATGAATACAGCATATTCAATCGTAATAAGAAATATCGTAAGAAGAGAGAGAGAGAGAGAGAGACTCGTGCAAACATTAAGAGGTTCGAAAGTGTGTTTGAAAAAGAGAGTTTCTCGAGACTATGGAGAACTTAAGGTGTGAGAATCGAAAGAGTTTGATTTTTGCGAATCTATTTGAGAGTAAAAAGACTGTCGAGAAAATTTTTCGCAGATGGCGTTGATCGATTAACGCGCTATTCCGACTAAAACTCAAAAGTCACTTTTGAAGTCAAGTGAACACGCTCGAAACAACGTTTGAAAATTACTGATAAAATATATTCTCTTCGAGAGAATCTTACTCTCAAGATATGTTCGCCCAATATTTGGAGATTCGTAGATATTTCGTAGACAAATGATCGTGGAAGATTTCTCGAATCAATTTCTCTTTCTGAGTGTTTTAAATTCGCGAAACGCGAGAAGATATCACGCAATGTTCAATGGAAAAGTTTTCACGGTGCTCGCTTTAAAGCGGGAACAGAAACGGCGATTTATTTTCGCGCAATGGCGATTTAAATGGACACGTATGGCGATATAACATTAACGCGCGAGGAAAAGGAAAACGATAACTGCAACAATGGCGGACGATAGCAACAACAATACGGTGGCGCCACTTTTATTCAATGTTTTCCGGCTTTTCCACGCGTCTAACCGAAACTAATGGGAATTTAGTGAACGTAAAACCAAAAAAAAAAAAAAAAAAGAAATAAAAATGTGCAACTATGCTACGTGTTGTTC